TTAACTATAGAAAATAATAATTTTAATAGAATTTTTAATTAAAAATATATTTTCTTTCTATATATAATTAATAAATAGAATTTTTTAATACTGTTAATAGAGTATTTTTATAGTTAATTAAAACAGTTAGATTAATTCTAGATTAATTATAATTAATCTAACTTACTATTTACTATACTAGATAAGAATCGATAGCTTTGGTACCAAGTATAGTTAATTTAGATTAATTATCTAATTTTTAGCTTAACTGTAGTTAGGTATAAAAATTCTATTAATTTAGCTATAACCTAGCAGTTAGGTATAACTGACCTCATTAACCTAACCTAACCTGGCCAAACACCAGTCTAGTCTTAATTATAAAAAATAATAATTTTAATAGAATTTTTAATTAAAAATATACTTTTTTTCTATATATAATCAATAAACAGAATTTTTTAATATTATTAATAGAGTATTCTTATAGTTAGTTAAGACAGTTAGATTAATTCTAGATTAATTATAATTAATCTAACTTACTATTTACTATACTAGATAAGGATTGATAGTTTTGACACTAAGTACAGTTAATTTAGATTAACTATCTAATTTTTGGCTTAACTGTGATTAGGTATAAAAATTCTATTAACCTAGCTATAACCTAGCGGTTAGGTATAACTGACCCCATTAACCTAACCTAACCTGGCCAAATGCCAGTCTACTTAAGATTCTATATAGAGATACCCTATTGAACTACTCAAAAAATTATTATTATTAATATTAAGTTAAAACTATTATTAAATTACTCTACTATAAAGAAAACCCAGTATTGTTTCCAGTATTTCTTCTATATAGAGATAATATCTTGATTAAGAGACTGATAGTATATAGTTAAATTAACTGGTAGCTATATAAGAAATATATTTTATAGTTTATAATCTATTTTTTCAAAGATAGTTTTGTAGACAGAGAAATTATCTATTAAAAGAATAACTTTTCGGCTAGTTATCTTTCTATTAAACTATAAAAACTATTTCTTGAAGATTATACTAGTTATCTATACTGTCTTATTATAATATTAAAAGTAGTCTAGATTCTCAATATTAATTTATACTACACAGAAGACTCTAGATTGTTTAGCTATTCTAATAAACTAGATAGAAAGATACTCTGAGCTATCTAAATTATAACAAAAGTAAGTAGTAATACAGACTTTTTTCTTTTTCCAGTCAGGAATTTAACTAGTAGTTAAGTTCTGGTCTGAAAAGAGTTTTCAATTCAGCCCAGTCTTATTATAATTAAAGATATTTTAAGGTGTGTAGTCTTATAGAGTCTAATATATTCTAATTATCTTAGTAGCTGTACTCTTAGAAAGACTTCTACCTTTACTATATAGATCTCTGTATTTTATATTCCGGCGGGCTTAAAATTGATAAAGTCAACTATTACTAAATCAAGGTTAGACTGGTGTTTGGCTAGGTTAGGTTAGGTTAGACTGGTGTTTGGCCAGGTTAGGTTAGGTTAATGGGGTCAGTTATACCTAACCGCTAGATTATAGTTAGGTTAATAGAATTTCTATATTTAACCGCGGTTAAGTTAAAAATTAGATAGTTAATTTAGATTAACTATATTTAATACTAAGACTATTAATTCTTATTTAATAAAGTAGACAGTAAATTAAGTTAACTGTAATTAATCTAGTATTAATCTAACTATCTTAATTAACTATAAGAATACTCTATTAATAATATTAAAAAATTCTGTTTATTAATTATATATAAAAAGACAGTATATTTTTAATTAAAAATTTTATTAAAATTATTATTTTCTACAGTTAAGA